GTAGCGAACGAAGGACACTTTCTCGCACGGCTTCCTCAGGGGCGTGATCAGTGATCACCTGGCAACCTGGTAGCCCTGCAGCTGGGGAATATTCCACTGCCTAACGGGGGATCCTCTTTGTCATCTATGACAGCTGAACCTGAGCGAAAACCGCAGACCATTTAAACACTATAAACAACAGTTAGCTTCCGACTAATTCGTAAACAAAACAACTTTCCAGGAGCACGCGCAGCACGAGCTAAGAGAAAGAGAGAGTTCCAGGTCCTTCGAGACACTTTGGCGCAGTTGGTGGCTCTGTTTGGGCCAAAATATTTGCAACGTATGACCAGCAGCAGGGAATTCCATGAAGTCGGAGGACAAAAGATGGGCAGAAGTCGAAGGACTACCGAAACGGAGGCAGAAGCCTTGAAATTGCATTTTATGACATGCCATTAAGTTGATTGCACAGCTCGGACTCAGCTCCGAGCGTACCAAATCAGACATCCAGCCGGCAGTTGACATTTCCAAAGCTACTAACTAGGCTGGTCCCTATATAGACGCCCGACTCCGGTCTGGACTCTGAACCCTGCGCATGCGTGGCCAATCGCGGTACGTGTGTCCAGTCTGCCGCTGCACGCGCACAAAGCGCAGTTAGTCACAGCAAATTATATATATTCCGCTGGAGGAGGAGGAGGAGGAGGAGATCGGGATCTCACCTTGAGCGGCACTTAGTGCACCCACCTGGTAGCCGGTAGAAGGTAGCTGGTAGCCGAGGCAGCCATTATCCTTTTGCCAACAAAAAGCGTGCCCAATCCGGCCAAGACAAATGTCACGTGGTCCGAACGGCTCAGGAGTCCAAGTTAATGGCAGGGGCCATTGTTAATAAGCGTGCCGAAATGGGAATCTGGACACTGGACACTGGACAGGAAGTGATGTAAAGTGATTCACTGTGAATCCGGTCCAGCCAAGTCGCTTCCATCGACTGAGATTACGAGGGCATAATAATGTGAGACAGTGGAGAATGTGTAATTGAACTGTGAAAATTGAATTAGTTTTGTAACAAAATATTAAGGAAGTTAACTAAGCAAAATGGTTTCATAATAATACACAACGAAAGAGTCAAAGATATTAATATTTTAAGTAATATATTTTATAAATCCCATATCCCCTTCCTTTTTACATATCTAAGCTCTTTTCTTATCTCATTTTTGCTGTAGATATGGCCACAAAGAGTCACAAAAACAAATAATTTAAGCACATTCTGTGCATATACCAAGCTTTTCCCATTTGTGAACAGATGATAAAAACTTATTTTTGTGGCAACGGGCAACCCTAAAGGCGATTCCCAAAAAAAAAAAAAAAAGAGAAGTAAAGCGAAATTATTAAATGTTTAATGCAGCGCAACATGCAATGCAATTACGCTCGCCTGCCGGGAAATGGGAATGGAAATTCTGAATTCAGAATTCGGGAGGATAGAGCTTCGCGGCACTGCAGCTGCTGGCAAAAGCGAAACTTGTGACAAAGGCGCGGAAAAGCAGAGCCGGAAAACTTTTGCCACGATGATGAAAAACGTTTTGTGCGGGCGTAAGCCAATTTGTGCCAAACACAGAGTAGCAACAAGTCTTGGGGAGAGAGCGACAGAAGGGAAAGCCAAATTAAAGTTGCAATGAAGTTTCGGGACAAGCGGCTTAAAGGCAACTGCCAAGGGCCGCGTCACATAATGAGCAGAGTTTTGTTCTGAAACTTGCTATGGCAGTGGCCACCGATTAAGCCGATAAAATCAGCCCAAAGAAAGGAAACCAGCTCTCTCAGGCTGCCGAGCAACCTGATTAACGCATGAAAACCGACCGAGACTCGCTCGTAATTATTGGCAATTTCACGGCAATAAAATCACAAGCGTGCAAAATCAAGGATGATAACATTAGCGATGGTACAGCAGCCGCGTGCAGGTGGAATTACACAATATTTAGACCCGGGACATGGCCTTAATATCACTCCCTTTGCGTTCCCGGGGGGCGTCACCCTCTTAAACAGCTGCAATTTTTATATTAAAATATTTTGTTAAACTTGTTCAGCTCTGGGGTTTCCTCTCCGTTTATCTTTCTTTCGGGCCGGTCAAGGTGTGAACGCGTCAATGGGGCAATGAAGCCAAGGGCTCAGGCTCAGAGACTGGAAATCTCAGCTTCAGTGCCAGACAACAGCTGTTGGGCTTTTTGCCTTTTCACCTTTTTTTCTCTTTATTTTATTTTATTTTTTTGCCAGACGTAATTAGGCACCTCTTGGGATAATTAATAAAAATGATACTCGTAACAGTAAACTGTGGCAAGTGAGTAAAAAAACCCTCAAGCTGACTTTGTGCACTCAAAGAAAGTTAAAAGAAAAGCGAGTTCTAGTAGTATCGTTAATCCCTCTCTTGAAATATTCAATGCCTACCTTGATTATGTATATAATAACTTAATTAATATTTCTTCAAGTGTCTCTCGTTGATTGCCTGGCAACACAAGCTTGCACACATCTCTCAAAGGCAAAAGCTGTGTAATAATTATGATTAAAAGGGCTTCCTCCCGGTTTGTTTATCCACTTTCTTCGGGCGACGTGGGAACGCTCTGCTCCGGATAGGTTGCAATCTTCCGACGCGATTGTTGCGCCTGTCAAAATATTGAGAGAACCTCAAAGAAGCCGTTCTCCTCCAGATTCGCACACTCATGGGCGGCGAGCATCAAAGCGGCGGTCTTCGATAGAAGGAGGAACAAGTATATAAGGCATATAAATACAAGATGACAGTCTTCCCACCTTTATTAACTAATTTGCTAAGGTCGACCGGCCGGCCAAAGACTTCTAATTGTCGCCACACACGATGCGAGGCAGGTTGAGAGTGAGGCCACGACAGAGACTGGAGGTTGACAAACGCGCCCTAATACGATTCCCAGGCCGGAATTGTCAACGTCATCGTTGCGGCGTTGCGTGTGGCTTCGAAAAGTTGAACAATGGTCCGGGGCCTTGGGAAATGCCGCCTCGGTTGCTCTATTGTCACCTGAGCAGGACTACTTTTGTCCTGTACTATGTCCTTTTGATGCCCAGCACTCCCCTGTCTCATTTGGCCATTGTTTGGGCCCGATTCTTGGCCCACAGCTAAGCGGCACTTGGGTTTCATCTCGTGCACTTTGCATCAGTCGCTCCATTTGATCCTGGCTGCTCCTAGCTCCCAGCTCCTTGTTCCTTTGAGTCTTAGAGCCTTTGTTGTCGGTAGGCCGTCGGTCGATTTGTTTTCATTTGAAACTCATTTGTGCACTTGCGCTGCCTTAAAGTGTTTTGGCCAACGCAATTCGAGGCGGCCTCTTTCTTCTTCTCCACAACCAATTGTTTCCGCTCAATTGCCAAACGCAAAATCTGCAAAAGAAAACCGTTCTGTGTGGTCCTGCTCCCTGGCTACTGGTCTCTCTGGTCCTGGGAATCAGTGCAGCTCAAAAAGCATTGCATTTTGGTGCTTGACTTTGCATATGCTTAACATGCTGTGCTCTAGATCCTGATGATGTTGGTTTGGTCCACAGCAGGAGGCTCTGTTCCGCCACTGCAGAATGCTCGCGAGCACAGTGGAATGGGTTGGATGTGGGGAGAAATATATTAAAGAGGATGTAATAAAATAAGCCATAGATAAAGGTATATATAGCCAACTCCGGACTTGAGTTTACTAAAGTAAAACCGTAAGAGAATATGCCATAAAACTAGAATAATTTTGAGGGCTTCTTTGTCCTTAAAATATCCTAAAAATACAGGAGAAATTGTAACTTTTAAGTCTTATTAATACTTTTTAACTAGCTAAGACAACTTTAAGATACTTTTTGAGTACAGTTCTCTGTCCTAAATGACGCCCACCGTAGCCTAGACAATTGTGTGCCCAAATGGACGTCGGTAGCCGAAACTGTTTTGCATGATTGACTGTTTGACATAATGAAACGCATGCGAGAGCAAGCGGAGCCGAAAGCTGGCAAGTAACCAGATTTGGCCGCCCCCAAACCCTCCTCCTCCTCCTCCTCCTACCTCATCAAACGGCGTCCCCATTCCATGATTTCCGATCCATTCCAGGCCCACGCAATGCAGTTTTTGTTGCTGCCGGTGCTTCCACTAATCAAGTGCAATGTTGGCACTGCCATGGCCAAGTCCAAGCTTCATTTTAGATGCACAGGGAAAAAGCAATAAAAAAGTGAATCTATTTTTACTAATTGGTATTAAAAATATGTTGATTTTTACATATTCAACAGTTTAAGTGGCTTTTCATTAGGTTAAAATCAAGCATTATGGTTTATAGATTGATTAAAATGTGCTCTTAGGATTTAAAGTTAATTACATTTTCATTATAACCTCAGAAGAAATTTGATTAATTTTGTTTTCAGAATAAATTTTAGTTTCAAACATTTATTTCCCGTGCACTCTGTGTCCATGGTGCAGATCCCGGAACATGCTCCTCATTTGGGGCCGCTCAGTATTGTGGTTTCGCCTGCTGCCTTTTCTTTTATCAACGTTGGCTCAGATCCGGGCTGTCAGGAGGAGACTCCTCCTGGTGGCCGGCGCGCCGTCCTCTGGCTGGCTGTTGGTGTTCGTTACGTTGTTTCTGGCCCCTGGCTCTAATCAGTCATTGCACAACATGAGGCAGGTTGAAGGAGGCCAAGAGCAGGGAACTTGGTGCAGGAAGCTTGAAGCAGGGAGAACTCGGTCAGTCAGTCAATCTGGCCAGGCCAGGAACCGAACGGAACAGACCAGAACAGTTCGGTTCATCAGCTCCAGTTCGCCCGGGGGAGGGGCTAATGAAAATGAAAATCTATGTCATTGTGCTTAGTTTGCATATCGAGGGAGGCGGCACTTTCTTCTGCTCAAGAATCACACAAATTAGCCCCGACATTCCCAGCCAGATGGCCAAGTAATTGTCAACGACAGCATAGAGGTAGGCCGAACAAGTGGAAGTCACTTCAAAGTCTTTCGTTTCTTGCCACAAAAAACCCAGAGAATTTCTACACAAAATATTTGTAGCTGTGATGTTGTGGGCGGTTAAGTGCTACTTTATTTTATTCAACCAGTGTTTCTAGTTTTTTTTACCTTTAACTTTACCTTTACCCTTTTTTGGTTTGATTTTTACAAGTAAAGCTTTTCATATTTCCGGGCATTGGAAAAAAGTTTGGGTCCTCGCAACACGACGTCTTCTGGGGCTTACAACTATGTTGGAAATGCCAACAGGGACATTTATATCGGTCCGTTGGCACGCACAAACCCTCTTGGCAGGCTGAAAGGTAAGGTCTGATGAGAAGACTCCATTGGATCTATAAAGTACAGTTCACTAACGATATGCAAAGAATCTAGGCCACTCGGAAGCAGCGTAAATGTAAGCCAGGAAAAATATCAACAGGAAGCAAATTAGAAATTTTCCCATCTCGGTGGACTTTAAAGAAAGAACTGGTTGCTTTCCGTGAAATTTAAACAATACCATTTTAAATTTAATTTCACACCACTTTGTCCATATAATACATTTTTAAATACCTTGAATTTATATATCAAGAAATGTATAACAAATCGATCTCCAGTACACTTTCCGGATCCATGAGGCAGCTTTCTGCTGAATATCAAATCAACATTCCGCATTTATTGACACAAAGCCAAATAGTTTAGGGCCAATGTAGTGCAACCTATTTGCAAGTGTGCAGAGTGGTTCGGCATTCGGGGGAAACCTTTGATTCCTGCTCATGACTTATGCATGAGATCGCTGCGAAACGTGTGTGGGCTCCGAGTGTCGGCGTGCCAAGAGGCCTCTGCTTCAGCCTCAGCCGGAGACCGAGAAAGATGACAAGAGCGGAGCTATTAAAAACAAACGCCCACCGACGAGTCAGTCGCCTGGATGACATGCCTTTTGCCGGCGAGGTGACGAAAGTGTTTCACAATCAACAAAGACAACGCTGGCGGCGGCTTCAGAGGAGTCGGCAAGCAGGCAGGCACAGGCACCCACGCACCGCAGGAGCAGAGAACGGTATCCGATCCGAGGCGTTGCTAATTCGTGTCACATTCTCTCGGGGAGAATTTGCTACACTTGTTACACGGTTCACACGCCGGCCCGAGGAACGTCTTCCGGCTTTATGCCCAAAGTCCTTTTATCCTGACTTTTGGCAATGATATTTGCGGTAGGTCGACATCATCGATCGAGGGACCCGGACCGGGGCCATTCATCTTCCCAGCGGTCGCCACGATGACAGTAGTCGAAGAAAAGAAGAGACCGAGCGAATGGGCGGATGGATGTCTCTTCTGGCAGCACTAATTGTCGATTCGATACGAGGATGTGTGACTTTTGCCAGCTCCTGCAAGTGGGATATACAGCTCGCTGTGTGGGCGAGCAGCGACCACATATTGTACTATTATATATCCCATGCCTCAGCCAACTGGGTGGTTCATGGCTCAAGCTGGGCGGAGGAGACGTCAAGCGGTCTGGCAGGGTCAAGTACTAAAAAAAAAGAGAAATAGAAATTGAGATAAAGCGGCCCATCAAAGCAGTTTTCATTCACTTTTATCGAACTGAATTTGTTTGAAGTTACCAAAATTTAAAGTGGTTCCAGGAAGTATTTAGATAGTGCGGTCGCACAGATATTTTCAGTAAAAAAAAGTGGATTTTAATATATAACCAAGGGATATGATCTAGAAAATATCTCTCCATCATTAAATCATGACTTTAACTGCGCTGTATTAGTCTGGTAAGCACCAAACCATTTCAATCTACTTTCAATTGCATGGCCTGCGTTTCCCCAAGAATTTTCCAACGATTTTCCACTGCTTTTCCGACGCTTCTCTAAACTGTAAGCTCTTCGCTCTCCATCGATAGGGAACTTAGCCAATAATCTTTCATCGCTGGCTACTCAAAACACTCGGTTTACGGCCCGGTCCGGCCCCACCCTTGAATGTTAATCAGACTTCCCGTTCGCTGGTTGCCAGTTGCCCCCTCGGCGATTGCGAGATGAGCTCGGGTTTCACTTAGGACTCCCCTCCTTGAGCCGAGCTATCGAGGCATGGTTTAATGTGCGCCTAACAACGATTGCGTCGAACGCTTTTGGCCATGATTTGGCGTACGCCATTTAATCAGAGATATCTGCAACACCTGCCGCAGCTCATGCTGCATGCACCAGGGCTTGCTTGGACTTGAAGTCAGCTTCTGCTCCTGCAGCAGCAATAACCAGATAAAGAAAAGCAGCAGCAACTCCAAACGCCTGCACTTCCTGTGTGTGTGAGACGGGAGTCGTTTGGTCTTTGTACTTGAAGAAAAGCTGGGGAAATCATAAGGCCAACTTAATCGTAACTCTAGAAAATCAGGTAAAATACCTTTGAATTTCTCCCTGTGCAGGCCGAGTAGCTGCAGCTTCTTGGCCTTGGCATGCCATGTAACTGGGAATCAGAGTAGATGTGGTGGAACGGCGCTGCTGGGGCAAAAATTAATTAAGTTGACTTCTGGCATTGGCAATGGCCAGTCGCCAGCTTCGAGCCGTAACTCCATTCCGCCGAATGACTGGCCATCAATTGCCAGCGGAAGTCGTAAGTTTTGGCATTCGGTTTTCCGGACTCGCTGCCGGCTCAGTGCACTGGCCTGCAAGTGTGGAGATTATGAAAAATGAAGCCGTTCGTCCAGGACAGCTAACGAGCACTAGTACTGGCGCCGTCGCCTCTTAGAGTTGGCCCAATCAGGCGCACATGTTGCCGGCTAGCCGCCTAATTGATGAACTCTTGCGGCTCCAGCTCTGGCTCTTCTCTTTCGCTGAAAACTATATCCCGATCCACTTCCAGCCCCGGATCTGTGCGTAGGCGCAGAAATATTATTTACAAATTGATTAATTGTTGTTTATTGGAAGTCATCGTCGGAGCGACGACTTAACTTGATAAATGAACTTGGCCCTGTGTGGCCCAGTGTCATTCCCCCATCGGCCAGGCTAAGGTCAAGCCATCAGTCATAAGTCAGAAAAGCACACACCACACACAATACGAATGCAAGTCAAGAAATGCAATTGGGACTTAACCATTTATGAGAAATAATAGAGAAGAGTACATAAATTGTTTAAATACTTAATCTAATCTTGGAAAAGTATTTCAATACGTCCGTCTGGGGACTTGGCCGAGTTGCCCAACCGAAACTGTCGCTCCAAACTGTCACTCCTGAGGTATTGGGCACAATAACGACAATGACTGACATTTGTAATTGATTTTCAAAGCGCCTTAGCTTGGGATTACAGCACATTAGCGGTCGGTGAAGGGGGACCACGACTGGGAATGGATCTGGGTGAGGTTTTTGGGTAGGAATGCAGTGTGGAAAAACTGCAATCTAGGTGGGTCGTTCTAACAAAGCTATAGCTGTGACTGCCAGGCGAAAGGAGCTCAGTATAAAGCCGTCAAATTGCATCAGCCACACACTGAGATTATCTAACTTCCATCAGGGCTCACTATCGCACTTTTGTGGTAAATAAAATCAAAGTGCTTTCGCTTGTCGCCCGATTCTTATCACACACAAGTTGTCTTACTTTTTACACTTCCATTCAGATCTGGATTACGAAAGTAAAACTTGTCATAAAAATTAAAATCGAATCCCAGTTTTACGAGCAGCCACAAAATTGCAGCAGACTAACTTGTAGGCACATTTCAATGGACGTAAAATTATTTAAAGGCCATCATTAACATTATCGCTGTCGATAAGCAGCAGCAGGGCGGTCCCAGTCACAATCCCAATCCCAATCCCAGTTCCAATCCCGAACTCAATCCAAATCTCAACCAAAGCCCAACACTTTCCTTTCGTCGCCCGTTGCGCTGGGTTTTATGGACTTAAATTTAACGCCGTTTGATGCGAGTTGTTGCCAGCTGTCTTTTAATTAAAAGTAAAACCAGGTTAACTATTGAGCAAAAGCGCAGCATGTGTTGCCGGCCCGATAGGCAGATAGGGCTAATACACTCTCTCGACAGCCATTAAAAGCGCGTAAATCTCGGGCCCACGAGGGCCATCAAATCGGAGTTCATTAGTTGTGAAAACACGAGTCGGCGAATCTCTGTGCTGGCTTTTATTCACTAACAGTCGTACCTAAGTTTAAGTTACCATAAAGTACAGGGTATTTAAATCCAAAAACTGTCACTGTTCTGGCCACTGCAGCTGCCAATTCTGGAATTAGGCTCGCTGTTCACCTTCGCTTTTTGGCCAACTGGCTGGGCAAAATTTCGTCTCGCTCAAAATCCAATTCGAAATGCGTGTCGAACACTGGAACATCGTGGAACGAATGCCCGGACCGAGCGTGAAAATCCGCTTGGGCGCAGACATTTTCCTTTGTCCACAAGAGTCCAATACACGTATATGGGGGGGAAAACTCAAGTGTGAAAATCTCTTGTGTGCGCTGGCATTCGCATCTGCAGAAATTCCAATGCCCAGCGGAGAAGTGAAATCCCTTAATTGGATTAGGGCCGTGGCAAAGGTGCAGAAAAAGTAGCCAAGATGGATGTTTCCTGCCGTCTATTTGCGGTCTTAGCCGCATAATTTGCAGGAAGCCCAGCCTCCCTCAATTAATACTCTGTAATCTCAGGCACTATATCGGAATTGGGTCATTCCATTAAAAGTGTAATTATTATTATTATTATTATTATTAAGAAAAAAGCCAGGCCGCACCTTCGGCTCCGGAGATTGTAAGGCTGGAAACGATTTCGTATTTTTTCACGCCAAAAAGCTAATGAAAACTCCCCGTCGCGTTAATGAGTCAAAGTGCTGAAATTATTTGCATTTACTTTTGCCGCTCGATATATATTAATTTATTGTTGCCGCGCACGAAAGTTCATAAATCAGCACAAAGGTGTTTCAATGAAACCAAAGCCAAAGCCGCAATGGAAATGGGAACGAAAACAAAAGTATTAAAAGCATTTCAGGCGCCGCGGCGCATCTCTCTTTTGGCCAGAGAAAAGTGCTGAGGTGAGTGCAGCAGCGAACACAAAAAGTGAGCCATTCAAATTAAGCGAAAATTAATTGCGGCCCCGCAAAAAATCGACTTGAACAGAACTAGTTTTTGCCGCAAAATGTTGCCAACTAATTGAAAATATATATCACGCATGCCATGTGGGCCGCCTCGTATGCAGATGGCCAAGCCCCGCCCTCCCCCGCCACTTGGTGGTGCAATTGCAGTTGCAATTTCAATTGCAATTGACGGTGGGCGCCACTGCGAAACTGGTTGCCGTTTGCAATTTATTTTATATGGAGCAAAGCGGCATAAAATCGAAAATTACATAGTAAAGTTCATTAAAATTCAGTGCAACTTGATGCAAAATCCATTTCTGACTCTCTTATTACCTTTTGCCATAAAGCACTGGGCTTTGAATACTAATACGATGTGTTTAAATGAATGCGACAGGTGAGCTGACACCGCTAAACGGTGGGTCCTTTATGAGCTTCTATTAATATG